AGGCTGCTACCTCGATCTACTGATCTGAAATGGGGGGGGGGGGAATTTTATGAGCTCACAGCCCAGTAAGTAATAAGTTTAAGCTATAAACTTGGATTCTAAGACCTTTAGACCTATTCACACAAAGAGCACAAGACACAACGGAATCAAATCACATAATATTATAATTCTCAAATTATAAGCACAAATGTCAAGTAATAATCAATGACATTTAAATTGAATTCATATACTAAAATCATATGCTCACAAATACGATGTCACAAGCGTAATGCATAAAATCGAAAATCACACAATGCTATGGAATCCACTGAGGTGTGCTAGCAACACTGTACCGGAGCTAATCACGGTACTAACCCTACTGCGCAGAGGTCCACTGAATACCCCAAGCTTTAAGCTTAGGTCCACTTATTCCATAGCTACAAACACATACACATGTCAAACAAATTCATAATATGTCCAAAATAATATTAGGACTCCCTATTGGAAGAGATCAAAGCATAATCGTGAACAGTAATCGTGAACAGTAATCGTGAACAGTAATCATAAACAGTAATCGTGAACAGTAATTCGCAAATAATACAATTTACTTATAATTCCTGCAGCAAAAATCACACCCAAATCAAACAATAGAAAGGACTAACTCACTATCTTTGCCATATAAATCCCAAAATTAAGGATATTTCTAATAAAAGTTTAATACCCAAAAATCTTACAAACCAAAAGATTAAAGCCAAATCTCACCAATTTAAACTACCCAAAACTCTAACCCAAAATTCATAACTAAAACTTATACTTACCTAATAAAAGCACCTTAACCTTGGTTGGGAAAATGCCATGTGTTAAGTAAAATTGGGATAATTGAGTCATGGTCATTCAACTTTTACTTAATTCTACTTAAAGCCCCCAAACTTTAAATTCAATCAATTTAATCCCTAAAACTCTAAACTAAAGGATACTAATTTTTAAATTATTCACTAAGGTATGTGGGGTGTTACAAGAAGTACATGCATCCCTTTAATTACCCTCTTCTTGAGTATTTATAAGTCCCGAGAGTCCAACCAAAAAAGAAAAAAATGTAAGTAAAAGATATGATTGCATTAATTCCAAATCATTCCTTTCTACTAAAAGATATAACAAATCTCATTTTGGTAATCTAATTAGCATTGTCCTAAATTTATAATATTGGAATGTACTTAGGGCCTGTTTGTTATAACGGTTAAAATTCAGCGGATAGCGGTAGCGGGTAGCGGGTAGTTGGTAGCTGGTAGTGGATAATGGGTAGCGGTTAGCGGATAGCGGATGGCAGATAGCGGAAAGTGAGTAGCGGATGATAAATAGCGGATTCGATAAATATAACTGTTTGGTTATACAATGGTTAGTGATTGTTATTTAACATTAAAT